TTTGAAAAAGTAGCTTAAATAATGCATACATTTAAAAATGTTATGATATATTGTAAGAAGAAAAAGTAAGTGTATTTCAATAATATGTTGTTAATGTTCCACAGTATGTAAAAGTATCCCACTGTTCAGTACAGCAGTTGAACATTTTCTCAGAGATCTGTTGCCCTTCATTTCAAGATGCTTTATAATAATAATAATAGTCTACAATGTGCATAGTATTATTAATAAATCAAGATGAACAAAATAACCTAAACATTTTACATTACAATAACTGGAACACAGTCAAATATTCATTTGAAATGACCTAATCACTCAGTTCTGTCCTGACATGCTGTGGTGTTGTGTGAGAGTCGAGCTGACCGTTCTTCTGAATAGTTAATTTGGGTTTATTCCTTCACTCTTTTGTGTGTGCAGTAAGTTCAGCCATCAGAACATTGTGCGCTGTATTGGCGTCAGTCTGCAGATCCTGCCTCGCTTCATACTGCTGGAGCTCATGACAGGAGGAGACATGAAGACTTTCCTCAGACTAAACCGACCCAGAACTGTGAGTGTTTGTGTGTGTTTGAGTGTGTAGACATCATATCCTCCGTTTCTCAGTTAGCACTCATTTTTGCTGTCATTTTTTGGTTTGCCAACATGTGTGGAACATACTTTGCAGTAGAAAACAACATAATTATAATTCCATTTATTATGAGGTAAGATAAGCACAATTTTGATACAAAACAATTCTCTAAAAGAACTTTAAAATGTAATCTTGCCTTTCCACAGAATCAGCCGTCTTCTCTAAGTATGCTGGAGCTTCTGCATATGGCCAGAGATATCGCACTTGGCTGTCGTTATCTAGAAGAGAACCACTTCATCCACAGGTGATTTCTCAAAGCCAAACCTGACTGAACTTTGCCCTAAAGTAGCCTTCAAGTGGAAACCGCTCTTCAGTGAATATATAGATGTCATTAACTCGCTGCAGCTCTTGACCTTGATGTCTTGCACAAGTTAGTTGTGTATGTCTGATGTGTGTTTCAGGGACATTGCAGCACGAAACTGCCTTTTGACCTGTCCTGGTCCAGAGAGAGTGGCTAAAATTGGAGATTTTGGGATGGCTCGAGATATTTATAGGTGCTTTCATCGTACTTCTTATCTCACATCCTTTTTCGTGGTTCAATACCTGTTAAGTATAATGATGAGCACAGGCATTGAATTTTGATAAAGGAATGCTTTGCATTGCAGGGCGAGTTACTATAGGAAGGGTGGCCGTGCCATGTTGCCGGTGAAGTGGATGCCACCTGAAGCCTTTCTAGAGGGCATTTTTACATGCAAGACTGACACCTGGTAATAACAGTTCTGCTTTACTGAATTATCTTCTTTTGTCAGCAATGTCAGGTTGTAAAGGTATTAAAGAATTGTTTTTTTACATCAGTGATTAGTGTTGCAGAGACCCGAGGCCAGACATTGTAGTTATTACATGCAATTTGTCTCCATCTGCAGGTCTTTCGGGGTACTGCTGTGGGAGATTTTCTCTCTTGGATACATGCCTTATCCCTGCAAGACCAATCAGGAAGTGCTGGAGTTTGTAACAGGTGGAGGTCGTATGGATCCTCCTAAGAGCTGCCCAGGCCCTGTGTAAGTAACAATAACAGCTTTGAGAATGGATCTTGGGCCTAATTTGAACTTAAATAAATGTAAAAAATGTTCCTTAAAATGTAGAGTTGTAAGCTATAAAACATTAGTGAAATGTTGGATTTTGTTCTGTTTTAGTTATCGGATCATGACACAGTGTTGGCAACACTGTCCAGAACACAGACCAAACTTCTCGACTATTTTAGAGAGGATCAACTACTGTACACAGGTATAACGGAGTCAGAATTTGACAGATTTAGATATCAGTATATTAGGTGGTATGTTCATTTAATTTACTTTGATGAGACGTTTTCAAACTTTTTGCTGTCAAGGTCCACCCTTCCTAAAACTATACAATTTTTTTTTATAAACACCCATGTATACTGTTTCAGAAAAATATTAAGCATAATATTTTAACACAACATGTTTCTAAAATTAGATAAGCAGCCTTAACATTTTTGTAAAAATGTATTTGTATAACATGTTTTTCAGTAAATATTATTCTAAAATAGCGTAACCCGTGTTATTTTAGTATTATTTATTTACTACTAGTATAGTATCTATTAATATTTTGAAAAAAATATTTTTATATTTTTAATTTTAATTCAGTTTAATTTGTAATAATTTTGTCATGTTTTTGTATATTTCTATTTAGATTTTTTTTATTTCAGTTTTATTTTTAGTCATTGTTATACTTCAAATTAAGCATATGTATTTCAGTTAGAAAAATCTAATAATTAGATTTTAATTTTTTCAATTTTATTTTAATTTATTAAAAAAGTATTTTAAATACTTTGTTATCTGTAATGTTAACAACTCTGCTTATAAACCCCAGTGGCAAGGAGAAACTAAAAAACGCTTCTTTTTCTTCACAAAACTACAAAACTAAAATGTCATTTTATTTCTTAATCTTAAAAACTTGAGATGTCAGCAGAATAAAATGATCACAATTATTATATGAACAATAATGAAAACCCCTCACTTACATCACTAGTGTTGACCCTTTTTGACTTTTTTGTCACCTTTTTCTCCATTTCATCACACTTCGTCACGCATTCTATGATCTGTCAGGACCCTGATGTCATCAACACCCCTCTTCCAGTGGAGTATGGTCCAGCTGTCGAAGAAGGCGGCGGCACTGTGATCCGTCCTGAAGGATCAGGCAGTATGACCCCTCTTCTAGTGGCCCACTCTGTGTCCCAGGATGCTTCTCCTCGACCGGGCATCACCGGTGCTGCCCCACAGGCCCTCAAACCTACAAAGCTACAAAGACCGGTCCATCTCACACAGGAGGTGGGTACGTACCGAGAAACTTTGGAGACTTGTTGGACTGAGCCGGTTCCTGCTCCTGGAGTCTGTCCAGGACAGTGGCTTCAAGTTCCAGAGCACCGGCCGTGCTCCAGGAGTAGTTCATCATCAGGCAGCCAGAAGCTAAAGAACAAGACAAAAAACCTTTGGAACCCCACCTACGGTTCCTGGGTCCTGGAGAGCTTCGGACGAGGGAAGACAGCCCTGTGCCACACCCAGTCCATGCCTCTGTCTTGCAACCCCACGTCCATGTCTGTCCCGTCCACTACCTCAGAGCGCATTGACCCTGGAGTAGAAGTTAACACAAATGTCTCGACGTCCCCACCTCCGTCTGCTGCATCCTCCCAGACCGCATTCAGTCCGACAGGGACTTCCTCTCAGAAGGGTCCAACAGGGGATACGGGCGGCTCGCTCGCTGCGGTTATGGACTTGGCAAAACTCCAAAGCTTCCCGTGTGGCAACGTAAACTATGCGTACGACGAGCAGAGCTACGAGACTGAGAGTTTGCCTGTAGTTGTGTCCAAATCTGTGGAGCTCAGCACCAGCTCTTCAGCTACATCTTCACTGGCTGTCCTCGGCCTGGCCGCAACATTTACCCACAAACCACAGGTGAAGCGCCATGCTAGCTACGGACATGAGGACGTAAGGAGGTACACCCAGTCTGAGAAGCCCATGAGGGACAGAGATTCTGGCTTTTCCTTGTCTGAAGACCTCAGTGTCACCCCCGTGTAGCGATCCAACTGAGGAAATGCCTCATTTTTGGTGTTATTTTGTTTTTGACACAGAGGTATTTTACTGCAATAACTGCAGTGGATTAGCTAGAGGCGGAATGACAGGTTAAGGCTGGAATACGCTTTATGACTTTCGAAATCTGAATAAATTTTAAAACACTAGGCATCATACACTTAAAGGGATAGTTCACCCAAAAATGACAATTCTGTTATTAATTACTCACTCTCATGTTGTTCCAAACCCGTAAGACTTTCGTTCATCTTCGGAACACAAATTAAGATATTTTGATGAAATCCGAGAGCTTTCTGACCCTGCATAAACAGCAACATAGCTGAAATGTTCCCTAGGTCCAGAAACATAGTAAGGACATAGTTAAAATAGTCCATGTGACATCAGTGGTTCAACTGTAATTTTATGAAGCTATCATAATACTTTTTGTGCGCAAAGAAAACAAAAATAACGACTTTATTCAACAATTCTTCTCCTCCTCATCCCGTCCTCCACCATTATCAAGAGTGCCACGTTGCATTGCTGTCTATGCAGGGTCAAAAAGCTCTTGGATTTCATCAAAAATATCTTAATAGGTGTTCCGAAGATGAACGAAGGTCTTATTGGTTTGGAACAACATGAAGGTGAGTAATTAATGACAGAATTTTCATTTTCGGGTGAACTAACCCTTTAATGACTGAAGATGCGATCACATTTTTTTTTGCATGCAAAATAGTGATGTATAGTCAATAGTGTAGTGATGTATGAAGCAGAGCTCACACCAAAATCACTTTCAAACCAAGCAGTTTTCTGTTGGTCAACTAGGGCTGTGCAAATAATCGAGTGTGATTTTCATGCGTATCTTGTCAGTAAAGCCGGTTCTGTGATTAGTAGTAAATCTCCAGCACGTGCTTTCAGATGGAGCGGCATTTACTATACAGAGCCGTAGTTCACTGACAAGCTACGCAATATCGCGTTCAAAACCGCAGGCGATTCATTGCCATTTACTATTGTAGTAAATGCCGCTCCATCTGAACGCATGTGCTGGAGATTTCTATGGCGAAATCTATGACTGCCAAAATCTGCAGTCTTTCAGTAATTTGTGTCATCCTCATCCAGATGGTGAATCTGGGCAAAGATCTGAGAAAAAGTTGTGTAGTGTACTCCAGCCTTTAATTCCAGCCAGTTGGAAACTATGTGCGAGTGACTACATTATTTCTTTGTGGTACCAAATACATGAGGAGTCGTAGCTAATTTGCCATTAAGAGGTGGCTCTCCTGTAAATGGCTGATGGTTTCTATGGAAACTTCCACTTGGCTAATAGCAGCCCTTTTACACTGGATTCTCATCTACTGTCAACACTGTGAAAACACATGATGTTCACTTTAAGGACCACATGAAATGAGAAGTCCTTTTCTACTGATTAGTCATAATTAGCAATGAATATATATGTAGGTTTAGATGTGCTTTACGAATTAGCATTTTGCAGCTGGTTTTAAGTGTATATTACAAGAAGATCCAAAGCATGTTCAGACCCCACACAAAAGGAAAATCATACTCCATGCCACATAACGATCAGTCACAAAATCTAGTAAAACTGTTCTTTTGTTTTTTTTAAAGTAATTGCCTTTTTAAATTATTTGAGTGACTTGACGTACTTTAAAAGAAACACAGAAAAGTTTGTCTAAAAAAGGGACGGTTCACCAAAAAATGAAAATTTTCATTATTTACTTGCCTTCAAGTTGTTCCAAACCTGTATGACATTTATTTTTCAATGATCTTCAGAGTGGTTTTTGTCCATACAATGAAAGTCAATATGTTGTTTTGGACTGCCGTAGTTAATCTGTCTTTATTTTTCTAATTAGAAAGTCATGGAAATGCTATCACAGATTTTTTTCTTTTGATATTCACCAATATCCACCTTATTTTTCCCATAAGAGCGGGCACGGCCATTTGTAAATTTAATGGGGTCCGGCTTCCGTTGTCATTCGCTTCCAGCTATTTTTTTGCTGTACAATACAGCTCGTTTTGCTGCTTGATATTGCAAACTGGTGTGTCTTACCATACTATTTTAATGTATTAGCTTAATTATGAACACACTGATTTGTAGTGCAAACAGTTTTAGCATTTACTATACTTTGTTATTCTCTGCGGCTAATGAACCGAAAGTCTCGCACATTCGCAGAAAACAACTTACTTCCGCGTTTCTTCATATAAAGTGAATTTTAATGTACTTGTACTACCTGTATTTTTTATGTTAAAAGATAGACATTGCTGCGTAATAGCAAACCTTAAATAAATTGTTTTCGACTATAATCCTGATGTGAAAGACAAAAAAATAATTTTAGAAATACAGAATGATTTTTGAGCAGATGTTTTATTTGTCATAAACATACTGCACAGGGAACACTGTAACAATACTCACCTGCCCCCCTAAACAGCAAAGACCTGCCCCCCTTAGTTACTGTTGCTATGTCCGACATTGCATGCTGTTCTCACGCAGTGAAAAATAGGCTACATCGCGGAGAAAAGAGGAAACTGACAACGCGCCGACAGACAAGACAGAGCAAGTTACTTTAGGCATGAAACAAAGTCTCAGATTTCAAATTTTGTCTTTTTTTTTAAAAATTTAAACAGTAAGTACCGTTTTGTGGCTCTTTAATGTGTCGTGACAGATCACTGTAGCGCTTCAGTTTAAGCGGCACATGAACCGATCATCTTGTCATATTTACTAGTTAAAGCATGAAATAAACATGAATGAACATCAGAAGGTTTTTGTTTCAACTGCGGAAAGACATCAATAGCTATAATTTGATGGCAAAGCTGAATCTTCAGCGTCACATGATTCTACAGAAATCATTTTAATATGCTGATTTGCTGTTTAAGAAGCATTTCTTCTTATTACCATTGCTAAAAACAGTCATGCTGCTCAATATTTTTTGTAGAAACCACGATGCATTTTTTTTCAGGACTCAATTAATAGAAAGTTCAACACAACAGCATTTATTTGAAATATATATCTTTCATAATATGTGACCCTGGACCACAAAACCAGTCATAAGAGTCAACTTTTCGAAATTGAGATTTATACATAATCTGAAAAAAACTGAATAAATAAGCTTTCCATTGATGTATAGTTTGTTAGGATAGGACAATATTTGGCCGAGATACAACTATTTGAAAATCTGGAATCTGAGGGTGCAAAAAAAATCCTTTAAAGTTGTCCAAATGAAGTTCTTAGCTATGCATATTACTAATCAAAAATTAAGTTTTGATATATTTACAGTAGGGTCTTTACCAAATATCCCAATGATTTTTGGCATAAAAGAAAAATCTATCATTTTGACCCATACAAAGTATTTTTGGCTATTGCTACATATATACCCCAGCGACTTAAGACTGGTTTTGTGGTCCAGGGTCACATATTATAAATGTCTTTAAAGTGAAGTGACGTGTGGCCAAATATGGTGACCCATACCCGGAATTTGTGCTCTGCATTTTACCCAAGTGCACACACACAGTAGTGAACACACACACCGTGAACACACACCCGGAGCAGTGGGCAGCCATATTGCTGCAGCGCCCGGGGAACTGTTAAACTGATCAATTTAACTGCAGTACAATTTAATTAGTGCATAATAAATAAAATAAATATATATTCTTAGACATTAATTAGCTAGATACCATTTTTGAAAATCATTAACAAGTCAATACTTTTTTTCCACTTTTTTTTGCTAACTATTTTGCAGTACAGTACAGAATTAGTAAATAATATAGTAGAACATATAGTACATTTTCTTGTTAGACATTAATATTAATTGGAAAATTGCACAACTAAGGTAAGACTCTTTACAGAACAAAAAAAAACTTGTATTTTACCTCATGTTTGTTGAAGAACTCTGAGGCCTTAAGTGCCTGTTTAATATCTTCAAGCCTTGTAACATAGGAGTTCTGTTAGGTGGGTGAAGGAGAGGAACACAACATTGACATTAATTCAACTAGAATTATACTAGAAGTTATTTTTTCAGTATTTTTCACTGGAGTGAGGCTCCAATTACACAATATCACCTTGTAGGTGCAGTTAATTTCAGTTTTTTTTCTGTTGAGGTTTTATATCTTCCTTCGCTTGCTTGTTTTAAAAATAAATATATCCTTTAAATGTAACGATCTTAAACCATATAGACCCTATACTGAACAGATGAGCATTTATGATACCGTTTCAACTGCCTAATGGGAGCATCACAAAGTAAACGATATCTGGCCTTTTTACATCAGACATATATATCCTGGAAACAAAGTACTTAAGGTGTTCATTAAGCCACAAAGAGAATATTGTTCCATTGAAATGTAGGTGTGCATGCATTATATCACAGAACAGGTTGGTCAAGTTCTCAGGAACTCACGCACAATTATGTTATTATTGCCTTCGACGAAATCCTTAAAGACCTGAATGACGTCTTCCTTTGACCGGGTCTTTTTGAAGTCTGTGTTGCAGGTTTCCCCTCTCTGAAATAAGAAAACAATGTATTGTATTGAATGTAAAAGGAAAAAAAAGTCAGATGAAGAGCTTTTACTGAAAAAAAAAAACAGCAGGTTGAGGATAATACAGTGTTCCCATAGTCATAGAAAAACATGGAAATAACTGGAAATTTTAAAGTGAGTGGGAACCTTGTTAATGTCCGTATGCTCTCAGAAAAGGTACAAAAGCAGTCACTGGGGCTGTACCTTTTCAAAAGGTACACTTTTGTATCTTTTATGTACTAATATGTACCCTTTAGGTACAAAATTGTAACTTTTGAAAAGATTCCGCCCCATTGACTGCTTTTGTACCTTTTTTTTTGAGAGTGTACAAAACATGTCAGTACTTTAATTACACTTAATAGAGTTTTAAAATGATTTCTAAATTATCTTAAATTGATTTGTGTTTGTACACAAAATAAAAAGAAAAAATTATAAAAATTATAATTATTATTTCATTATTTTCTATATGAATAGTTTAGTTATTATATATTTATTTATTTTGTATTTGTCATCACCATGACACACCATGTCTCTGTTTGGACTTTGTTTTCAGTTTGCTCTGTTTTGCCCCGTCTAGTTAGTTGTCATGATTATTGATTTGAGTTCATTTAGTTCAGGTGTGTCTAGTTAATTATCCTCGTTTGGTCTGTGTACTTAAGTTCCTGTCGTTTCAGTTTGATTTTTGTCAGGTATTGTTAACGTCAACATTCATGTGTGTCACCAACCTTCCTCTATGTGGATTTACCTTTATTGTGTGGATTTATTAAATACTGTTTTTCGTCATTTTCATCTTCTTGCGTGTTCATCGACACCTAAACTGTGACAAAATACCTGACCACGCAAAGAACTATGGATATTGCATCCATTAACGTTGCACCAAGGAGGGGCAACACGCTGCTGAGAGGAGCAACCGTTTTTATTTTTCAAGACTGCCGTAACTTGGAGGAATTCCTCGACACTTGACACCATGCGAGCTGCGATGACGTCTGCTTGATGGAGGGATTTTGGTGTTGTCTGGATGACGACATTCGCTTCGTCATGCCCAGAGGAGATCCGTACTGGACCCTGAAAGATTACATTAGTTTCACGTTGTGGGTGAATGAATCCACACTCACAGCGGATGAAGCGGATGTCAACTGCAACATCAGTGTCCAGCCACACCTCGCAGACATCTCACAGCCAGACCCAGAGCCCAGCCAATCATCACCCCGCTGCGCGGAGCTTCAGCCGGAGCCCGCCATGACCGATGAGCCATCACTAAGAGGAGTGACAGAGCTGAGGATCGCCCCGGAGCCAGAGCCTCATTCAATGTCTGACCAGGTGCGTGAGCCGGCAACGAAACCTACCACGGAGGATTACACAGTGGAGTGTGAGGGCACGGAGAAAAGCCCCGCCCACTGTTCCACCGCTGAGGGTGAGCTGAGGCAGGACTCTGAGGACTTTTCTTCTGAGATACCCAGTCTTCCGTCAGCGTTAGAACTGTTTGCCTGTCGTGTTATAGCCAAGGAGGACGTTTATGAACTGTCTGTCTGCCCTGAACTCCCTGTCTGTCCTGTCATGACCACGGAGGTCGTTCCCCTATCCGCTATCCGCTGCGCTCCCTGTAATGGGAGTTGCTATTTGGTGTGTATGGGCAGCATACACCATCCATGAAACCCTCGACTGTCATGAACTCCCACCCAGCCTCCCTCTCCTGAGCATTCTGCAATCCTCTACCTCGCTGCCACTGCATCCTGCCAGTCCCTCAGCTCATCCTCAGCCTCCCATCTGTGGATCAGAGTCACTGCGGGCCGGAGTATTGAGGTCGGAGGATCCCTGGTCTCCGCCTCCAACCTCCGAGACCTGGACTCCGCCTCCAACCTCCGAGACCTGGACTCTGCCTCCAAGCTCCGAGACCAGGACTCCGCCTCGGCTCATCAACCCATCAGCTCCACCATGGCTCACAGCTCCCTCGTCTCCACCGTGGCCCGTCTCCACCTCCGGCTCTGCCTTGGTCAGTCGTTAACCATCCACTGCCTCAGGACTCCTCAGCCTGCACCTCGTCCCTCTGGCTCTGTCAGGCTCCTCCTTCCCTCCGGCTCCACCTTGGTCCTCTGTCGCTCCGGCTCCACCGCGGCCTTCCGGATCCCCGCCTTGGTCGCTTGAGCCGTCTGCTCCGCCTTGTCCCTCCGGATCCTCCCAGTCGTCCTGGCTCATCGGCTCTCCGTCTCAGCCCTGGGCTCCTCTCCCACCTGCTCCGCTGTCGTCGGTTGGCCCCCTGGAGTCGTCAGCCCTTCCTCCACAATGGCTCCTTCCTCCATCGGCTCCACCGTGGGCCATATCCCTGGCTGGGCTCTGGAGCGTCTCATGCCTCCTCCTGCTCCGGGCTCCTCCCTGGATCCTCTCTCCATCTGCTCCTCCCTCCGTCTGCACCTCCCTGGACTCTGTTAGTTGTCGTCCTCCTCCCGGTCATCCAGCCACCTCCAGAACTTCCTCCGGCCTGTCTGTGCCAGCCCATCGCCATCCTTTTGTCGCCATCCCTCCGCCGTCTCCTGTCCCTTCCTTCTCTGTGGCGTGAGGTCACACCTTCCAGGAGGGGGGCAATCTGTCACACCATGTCTCTGTTTGGACTTTGTTTTCAGTTTGCTCTGTTTTGCCCCGTCTAGTTAGTTGTCATGATTATTGATTTGAGTTCATTTAGTTCTCGTTTGGTCTGTGTACTTAAGTTCCTGTCATTTCAGTTTGATTTTGTCAGGTATTAATGTCAACGTTCATGCGTGTCACCAACCTTCCTCTATGTGGATTTACCTTTTATTGTGTGGATTTATTAAATACAGTTTTTCATCATTTTCATCTTGCGTGTTCATTGACACCTAAACTGTGACAGTATTATTTATTTTATCTATTTATTAACATTATATAATAATTCATATTAATTGTATTTATGTATTTAATATTAAGTTGTATTGTTATTTGTTATTAATAATATAGAATATTAATATGACTGACTATATATACACATACATATTTAATAGTTTAGGAATATTTTTATTATTATTTATTTATATGTAATAGTTTTGTTAAAATGCAGAGGTATTTATATTAATAATTTCTTACTAATAGCTGTAATGTTATTTATTATTATTAGGTATTATTAATAACATTATATAATATTTATAGCTAATATTAATAGTTTTGTTAAATTGATCGATTCATTGATTTATTCATTCATTTAACAATGTAACCTTAGCACAAGTTTCAGTGTCTGGTTTTCAGCTGAACGCAAATTCTGCTTGCTGTGATCAAGCAGGCTGTGATTTTTAGGCACTGTGGCTACCTTAATACCCTCAATGCGGAAGCCCAGAGTGTTAGTAGAGCTGAGACTTTCTCTCCACTGCATATAGCGTGGTTTGGTAACAGCCCTCTGTTTCTTCTCCTCCGCTGTAGGAGCTTCACTGTCCACCTCCAGCATCTTATTATACAAGTCTTCACGCAGCTTTGGCTTCACCCTTGCCCGCACCAAATCCTCCTCCAGATATGTCCTGAAAATACGAAAGACAGAAAGTAAGTAAGTAAGAAAGAGAAAAACGAAGTAGATTTTTAAATAATCTATTGGAAAGATCAATTAATCATGCCTGAATTGTTAATTCAGTCATCGGCAGTTTTTATTTTGTTTTTCAAGCTTGAACTTTACTTGACTTCCTGTATGAGAAGAGGAAGTCACCAAGGGACTCCTTGCACAAAATGTCTCTCAGCATGTAAAAGAATGCGTGAAATGCGTGTGAGAAGGAAGCCCTCAGGGACGCCCTGTGTCTGCCTCGCTAAGTGTGCATCTAAGTTTTGACTGCATGTGCACAGGAAGTGGTTATTATTGTTGTGCGAGGGCCTCTCTCTCTCTTCATGAGCTCCACCCATCACCCTGACAGGATGCAGGCCAACAACCAGAACAGGTGTTTCAGCAGGCAGAGTGAACCTGCCATGCACAATATATTAGCATGACTATAAAAAGGAAAGAATTACACATTAGCAAAACGAGTAATACTTTCCATATTTAATAACAATAATTTTTATATATTATTACTATATTAAAAAATAACATTATATTAATACAATTAATAGTATATATTTAAATATTTGCACTGCTCTTTCTATTTAAAATAAATGCTGTGACCTTTCTATTATTTAAAGAATCCTGACGAAATGTATCATGGTTTGCACAAAAATATTAAGCAGCACAATTGCTTTTAAGCATTAATAATAATAAAAAGAAAAGATCAGCATATTAGAATGATTTCTGAAGGATCATGTGACAGTGGAGACTGGAGTAATGGCTGCTGAAAATTTAGCATTGCATCACAGGGATAAATTACATTTTAAAATATATTAAGATGTAAGCTGTATATATAAACTGTAATAATATATATTAATATTTCAAAAATTGAATAAAACTAAAAACAGCCTTGGTGACCATAAGACTTTAAAACACTTAAAAATCCTTTAAAAAGTATTGTATATCATTAATTTTATTAATGAACATGAATATTACTTTTTTTAAAGTAAGTAGTTATGTTTAAAGTGATTTGCATAATTAATTTGGTTTGCATTTTATTTGATTGGGTGGTTCTGTGACTATTCTTTTAAAATGTAATCAATGGTTAAATCTGTTTCGATTTATCATAAAGAAAAGGTACAACTTATGAAGCACATGCATTCCCTGTATCACTTGTAAACATTAAAATATACAAATACATAATAAATAAATAAAATAATCTGAGCAACGTGTCCATGAAAAGTAGCACCCATTACTCTACCTCACTCCCATCTTGCAGTCCATGACGTTGGGCAAATCAAACTTGGCCAAAAGGTCTTTCATTTTGAGAAAAAGCTCTCCGTCTCTCTTGACCACACCATAGTAGCTGGGCACGAAGGAATGTAAAGCATCCTCTTTCAGCCTCTCGAAACACAGCTTCTCATTCTCTGAGTATTTCTTCAGTATGGAGCCCTCATCCCCTGCTTTAAAGCTGCCTGGGCAGAAACACAAACACAGACAAAGGATGACTGGAGTCACTGGAGCACATATAATCAACGCAGCCAGTCAGCCAGATCTTAGTCAGGATGCGTGCCTTAATCATCTGTTCCTGAAAATGAATATTGCATGATGACTGTGCACACATGCATAGTGTTGAAAAGGGTAAATAATTTATGTTTGATATCTGAAAAATAAGTTTATACGTACACTGTTTTGGTTTTTGGCATGTGAATATGCATGAGTCAAGTGTCATCACATAACACTACACATAACCACTTCCCTAAAATGGTATCAAATGATTGTACTTCCTCATGTATTGAAAAAAAAAAAACAGTGCTGTTTACAATAAAACAGCCAGAAGACATGAGCTAAAATCAGTGGCGTTATTGCCAAGGAAGCAATCTGATGGAGATGATTACTGACAGTACAGAAATAAATAATGTCAAAAAAGAAGTTAAAAGTTATAACCCTATTTTTTATTTGCAAACAAAATAACTGCTTTCTAAAATAATAACTAAAGAACAAAAAGCATATTCAAGTCTGATTTGGTTTTAATAATTGCCTTCTAAAATAATAGCGTAAAACATATACATGTCTGACTTGAGGTTAATTATTAAATAATGAAATAATAATTTGATTAAAAAAATTACAATAGAAATATTGAATTAATGGTTGCTTTTTGATAGTCACAAACATTGTAAATTGCTGTCCCATATGCATTTACCCCGGAAACTGTGCAAACTGTGTAAATATGGAACTGAAACATAAATTTACATTGGACTAAAATGTGCAGCTTTTTGGGGGGAAGGTTTACCTTTATGGCCTGCTAACTGAACCCAGGACAGCCGTCTTCGCTGTGAGGTCAGTAAAGGGCAATTGACAATAGTCTTCAGCTTCCACCAGGCATTGCTTTGCTGGAACACATTAAAACATAATCATCCATGACTATGAAATAAGTGCATTCAATATTTCAAATACTCTGCTGTAAAAACAACTCGACCCTTGACCACCTGACAATAAGTCTGAGAAAAAAGAAGTGTGACCAGTCACCGAAACCAACCGACAGTGTTTTTTCAACACTGCACAATGTTCCTTAAGTGTGTGAGACTGAGTCATACACACATGGTCTCAGTTGGAGCTGTGAAGCTCTGTAATCTAGCACTTCAGCCCATAACATAGGCGTCTGGTTTGCTGCCCATTTCAAACAAGTGTTCTGAAAAACATTTCTGTTCATTTGAGGAGGAAGGTTTGCAAAGCATGCTGTGAATTTCTGTTCACAGCACCTTTTACTTTGATAATGTGACATAATTGTGATTGAACCAGGAGATCCAATTGTATCCACTTCCAAATAGAGTCAATTCTGATTTAATTTTGATTTTATAGTCATGATGTAACAGAATAGCGACAGATCTTATCTTCTATATTGTGACGTAAATCGGATTAAAACAGATTAGTGCAAGAAAAAATGCAGGGCAGGACTTGGCTCTATCTATCACTTGTTGACTGGATGGAGGCAGATCTAACTATAACCTTGTAGTCGTGATTGTAAAAGTTGTTTTACCAGAAGACTGAGTTATGACATTTTGACAAAAAATTATGGAGGTCAAAAAAATGCATGGATGATTTGTTCGCCATAACATCAATAACAAAGAGCTGCTCGATTATGGCAAAAAAAGTATATATAGAAGTTTGTTATGCTCATCCAGGCTGCATTTATTTGATCAAAAATACAGAAAAAACTGTAATATTGTGAAATATTATTGCAATTAGGGCATTTTTTTTAGATTCTTTGATGAATAAAAAGTTAAAATGAAGAAGTAAAGTGATGCTATTCTGATGCTTTTGATTGGTTTTCTTCGTTGAATTTGCAGCGCACCACATCTGCCAATTACATCAATTGTCGCTGAAAGCTTTAGGCTACAACCTGTCTGAGAGCCGCCACCATGGCGAGTGATAAAAATGTGTTCCGGTGCTTTAAAGTGTGTTCCAGTGCTGTGCTTTAAAATTAAATTAAATTGAATCTAAATTCAAGTTATGAAGGATTTTGAAAGTCTGACAGTAGTCAGTGTTGAGTACTACTGTAAGGTTAACCCTGCCTGCTTTAAATGTTTGAAAATGTTTAACAGTTAAAAACATTCATTAGAAATGTAGAAAAGTAATCAAAAAGTAATCAGTTACATTAATAACACAATTGAAATACTTACTTGTTACATTTTAAATAGGGTAACTTGTAATCTGTAACCTATTACATTTCCATAGTAACCTTCACCTTACTGAGATAATCACCTATCACTGGAATTTTATCAGTATTTTTTGTTACTTAATAAATATATGTTTTTAACAGCACTAAAAAAATCTATAAATATCTATTTTTCTTACGTGCACTTTGTGTGTTACTCTAGTTACTGCGTTTAACATTCGTATGGCAGAAAAGCCCTTAAATTCTTCTAACAAAGAAAATTAAATTAATTAAAACATAATTATTTTTCTTAAAATTGTAAAAACTAAATGTAAGAAAAAAAAACTTTAGGAAAATGAATACTGCAGGTGTTGAAATGCTTTGGGTGTAGCTGAAGTGCAGTGTTTGTTCTTCCACTTGATATGGAAAGAAACATGTTTGTTACTTTCTACCTCTGCTGATGTGCTGATGAAGCAGATGAGTGAAGTTTGCCTACATATGTTTAATTCACCCTCAGGTACAAAAGCTGAATTGAAAACCTTTACAATACAGTGTGCAGCAATTATTATTAAGCCTTTAAAATGGATGTAGTACATAAAACTTTGCTTTGGGGGGTTGGACAAGATCCAAAGAGTACATCATATATAAAGTCAAGCAGACTGCGCACGGCCCTGTATAAATACAGAGAAAAGCCATAAACCAAAGGCTATGCCCTGCACTTTGTGAAGCTGTACATACACCCACATTTTTAACACACCCGTAACTAAATATTGAACTGGACAGTCATGCAGACAATTCAAACATCATGGTGCCAACTCTCAAACAACTACCAATCACAGAGACACGTTTCTACGAAAACATAAATATCGTTACCTTCAATAAACATATACTGAACCACAAAGAGTCGACACTTATCTATTTTGTCTCTTTGCTACTAAAAATTACATTTCAGTAGTAAAAAAGTGAAAATATAAAAGCTGAACATGACTTCTTTGGTATCTTGTATTTACTAGTTAGACAAAAAGACACAACTCAGTTTTACCATGATTACATGTTGAAGCACATTTTTACTACAACAGAGGATTGTCGGTTTTTACACTGCCAATCTTCTTTTGTAGTAAAAATGTGCTTCAGAAGAAAAAAATAGAATAATTTCAAATGTGAGTAATAAAAATCCGTATTGTAATCACAAGAGTTTATAAAACTGACCTGAGCTGCTCTACCATCGAACTGCGGGTGGAAACTTGTTTGTGACACTGTGGCTTCTGCTTAAATGTCAAGCGGCAATGAGTTTATGTTTTGATACAGGCTGATAAAATCAAGTGTTTGTCACTGTATGTGTTTTTCCTATGCAGAATAGGTGTCTGCAACATTCAATTTATAAACTCTCAATGGTTTTTTACAGTGTCACTGAGCTTGACTTTTATTGGGCCAAAGAAGATGAACATTGATCAGTTCATTCAGTGCAAGATGTGTAACTTTCTGAAAAAGAAAGAGTAGATGCTATGCAGACACGGCATCCAGATTTACAGAGGCAAAATGTTTAAAGTACAATGACAGCGAAGGCCTTCTATGGCTGCGAATGAGCTTGAGGACCAAAAAACATGAGACATCCATTCAGAATAATCACATGGCAGAAGTGAGAAACAAAACAGAGATGATTGGTTAGAATTATCTATTAAGCACTTTGTTAAATATATTACTTCTACTTTTTTATTTAGTCCTTTGATTTACATTCACCCTTATTTGGCAAATGCTTCTATCCGAAGTGAGTTTTAATGTATTCAAAGTAACTTTCCCACCCACTAACTGCAATATTTTTGAAAAAAATTTGCAAAGGTCATCACTTTGGATTCACTTCTGTTACGGAAATTACAAGCATATAAGTATGTATATGAAAAAAAGGCTTTGGCACATAGCGGTTAAGCCTGTTGAGCTTGTTACTTTAACACTCAAAGTGCTGCCAGGTTATTAAAGCTGCACACCTGTGATATTTGCTCAAACTACATTGAAGACGCTCAATGCAAACAAAAAATAAACAATTCCGATAAAAACTCCGAACAGCCTACTTTGTAAACAGTGAAGGAGAAACATATCGATCTGCTATGGATGGATGGATATTTCAGTTATATTTTTTAGCTACTTACTACTGTAAATATTTCATCTGAAAGAGCATACTAGAGCCACCTGATACAAATCTAGCCTCAAATGCCATGTCGTGTCACAGTAGTTTTGAATGGCAACCCAGTGAACAGACATGCTTTCACAATTAGGAGCAAGTACAGACAAACAGACACCCACACAAACATACCATAATCATGACCTTGCATGAGCTCTTTACAAATATGGACTCAACACAAAGCTGTCATTGGATATGCAGATTTCAATCAAACATTTTCTAATGCCTCAGTCATGAGTACAAATGAGATTCCTCAAGATACAGCGGCAGGTATCAAAAGCCTCATTGGCAACTCAAGAACAGATAAAAAGGTTTCATAACTTTCAACAAGACAGTTCCTCATTATTAATCTCATGTTCTCATGACAGGTTTCGAATTGTCTGCTTTTATTTTAAAAAGAGATCTGTAGGAATAAAGAGCCTGTAATTCAATTCACCCAGGTCTCTCCAAAAGTCTATATTTACCATATAATAAATGAATCACAATAAAAAAAAAAAATTATTATTTCTTATATATCTTATAATTATCAGATATGTAAGACACAAAAATTGTATCTCAGTAAGTCATAGTAAGTCCACTTACTCGAATATGTGACCCTGGACCACAAAACCAGTCATAATTTTGCACCCTCAGATTCCAGATTTTCCAGTATCCAGTATCTCGGACAAATACAACGGTCCTATCCTAACAAACCATACATCAATGGAAAGCTTATTTATTCAGCTTTCAGATGATGTATAAATCTCAATTTCGAAAAAATTTACCTTTACGACTGGTTTTGTGGTCCAGGGTCACATATGTGTTGCTCTAGAAGTGGTTTTGTATGTGGGTTTTAAACACCTATTTTAATTAGGTCAAAGCCCTAGTTTTGGTTGGAAAAATAAATATATTTTTCCAAACTAAGCTGACATAATTACCATATATATATATATATATATATATATATATAAATACATTAGCATTAATAATAACAATAGTTACAATAATTGTTGACCAAGACAATGTTTATATTTTTGGTGCTTCATTAAATCTGTTTTTTAATTTGCTGAAAGTCTCATTACAGGATGTTAAATGTCAGTTTCAACTGTGACAACTTGCTCCAGCCTGACAGCCTGACTAACATGACCCACTATTGCACCAGGTTATCACAAAATATCAACATGTTTAATGAACTCGATTCTTTTTTTTTTCTTATGCAATAATGGTGGAAATGTACAGTAGTTTTTTGCAGCCAGAAATGTAATGTTGACACATAGCCTACTGAAAAATATTCACAGGAGTAAAAAGTGCGACAATTACCTGTCTCTGTCCACCCAGTAGTCCATGCCTTCTTTATTGATTACATTATAGCACGCATGAATGACTACATACATAACCTACCTCTCCTGGGTCCACCGAGTCGCCCAAATGCTCGAGAGTCACGATGCCTTTGCTTTTGGTCTCGTTGTCGCTGAGGATGTCATCCTCCGACTCGTCAAACGCCGTGGAGGAGCCGTTGGAGGAGATGGAGGAGTTGGAGAGTTTGCGGCGCAGCTGTCCGTTGACCTCCTCCAGATCCTCCTCAGTGATCGCCCGTGAATCCCCATCAGACGTGATGGTCACCTGCGGCACTAGGCACCCTCTCCCCGGTTTACCGTCGGAGAGACAGCCTGCTTGCCCACTGAACTGTTCCGCCATCTGTGCTTGATCATCACAAATCTCTGTGGATGAGATAGCGCATTTCCTTATTCGACCATAGCCTACTGCTGTTTATTGTGTATCGGGTAAACCTTTTCTTTGTCCATCTGAAAAATATCAAATCATTATCAAATATCAAAATAACAAGGAATGTAGACTGTTACAAATATAGTAAAAGTAAAGGTAAATTTATTCAAAGTCACATTAATTACTAGATTTCATTCAATATATGTTGCGATATCTGTACTACAATGTTATAAAGCATAATTTAGTTTATTAGAAAAGATTCTATTGTTCATCAGATTTATGTTAATAAGTCTATAAATGTCAAAAACAGACTTTACCTAAAAGATCTGATTCTCATTATAGTTTACTATATTTTTAATGCTGTAATTCATTCATGTTGTGGTTGTCAGAATTTTACAGGAAACACAGTGAAACTAGCATTTTGGTGACTGTATAGAAACTCTATGCCATTAAATTATATAATACTACCAAACTATTGGAGCTATATAAAATCTGGTTGTTATTATAAAATGTAGCCCACTGATAATAAAACTGATGTATAATTAAAGGTCACATGATGACTTCAAATTCATCAGAATTGCCCTTTCCAGTAACTGTGGTCATACAAAAGCAAAACACATAACACACGGCACAAACATAATGAAATAAACATCAACTAAATAACACAAAACATTCCATTGTACATAAACAATAACATAAAAATTATTGGAATGGCCATTTCAATTCACGCATACGTTTTTTTTTCTTCTAAAAACATTATAGTCAACAATATTTTGCCCTTAAACACGTTGATTTATTAAATACAATTTTCTCTGTAAATTAGAAAAGAATTCTTACTTTTTAAACAATTTACATGAACTAGAAAACATTTGAAAGTAAAATCACATGTAAGCTATTGTTTTTTGAACAAACTGGGATATTTCCTGTAGGATTATAAAATATTATTTCATCTGTTTTGACATATTTTTCCATCATTTTTACCAAATATGTTAAGGTAACTTACAGTTAACCAATGAAGAGTTGTTACTGTATTCTCTTTCGGTTGTCGTAGTGTTGTGCTGTAGTTTGTACTTCCTCGCAGTAGGTGGCAGTAAAGCTCTAAGTGGCAGGTAGAGGTCACGCACACAACACAAGAGAAGGAGAGCGCAATTCTTTCCAGAGCATTTTAGTGAAGCTCCGGATTGCTTCCCTGAACTCTTTAACTGTCCAAGTGCAATTGCATAATTAACTCGACAGTTTTTTCCCAGTTTTGTTTTGCAGTCGCTACAATTCCCAAAATGTTGGCTGTCAGAAGAGCATTACGTCTCTGTCAAAGAGTGGCAAATGTCAGTGTCTCGCGTCGTGGATGCGCTGGAGCTGTTCCCGTGGACGACATCGTGAACGGTCTTACCGAGGAGCAGATCCAGGTACAGTATCCACACACCTGTTACTAAACCTGGAGCCAAAGCTCGTGAAATGTCACCGTTTCTTGTTAGTCTTGTTCAAGTTTAGCAGGGATGCGCTAGTTAGCTGGGCTAGCATACACGATGACCTTTGACTCAATTTTAGGAACTTAAGACTGTGTACATTTAGTTGCCAGGCATTTTTTCATAAAACGCATACAGATCCAACCTTGACATTGAAAAATGTAAGTACAGTTAGAAGTTAAGTTAAAAGTTAAATATTTCTGGGGTTTTAGTATATGATAGACTGACGTACTTTCACTGCGGCCTGTGCTAAGTGGGCACGCTGTGTGGGTGTGAACGGACGGCGCGTTTTGATTGGTCAGGATCATTTTTTAAACCCTTTATTAGCTTTGATAGAAGCCCACTGGAAACTCATAACACAACTTAAAGAAATCTGCTATTGAACATATTGCTTAAGTTTGGACATGGCACTCAGTGTTGTGTGGTGGTCTTCTGAAATCAGGAGGCAAATATACTTCTTAGCCCAATATAAATTAATGATCCAATTCTGTTTTATGTTTAATGGTGTCGAGGTTAAATGTGTATGAAATAACCAATTTCTTTATGCTAAAAAAGTTTATTTTATTATAGACACTAACCTGCAAAGTTCTGAACAGTATTTTTTTTCAAATGAATGAATACTTTTATTCAGCAAAAGTAAAATAAATACATTATAATGTTACAAAAGATTTCTATTTTAAATAAATTCTGTTCTTTTGAACTTTGTTTATCAAGAGCTCTGAAAAAATACAGCAGATCTGTTTTCTACATTGTAATAAGAACTGTTTCTTGAGCAGCAAATCAGCATATTAGAATGATTTCTGAAGGATCATGTGACACTGAAGACTGGAGTAATGATTGCTAAAAATTCAGCTTTACATCACAGGAATGAATTTCATTTTAAAATACATTGAAATAGATTAGGTTATTTTAAATTGTAATATTATTTCACAATATTATTTTTTGCTGTATTTTAAGAATAGAGTACATATGTAGGCCTATAATATGCTTTTTATTATAACCAACTCACATCAATGATTTATCAATCATCAATGATTTATATATCTTTATTATTTTACCACTAACTGTGTTTGGCTTTTGTTAATTGTTACAAATATAACATTTTATATTATTACTTATTCTGCAAGTGTATTGATTCCTGCAGGTATAGAGGTGCTATTGGACAGGATTAGTTACAAACATTAGTGGAATTCATGCATTAAAAACAATATTTGTTTTGCGTTTGGGCCGTTAATTTAGGCACTGCTTCTCCTGCCTTCTCAGACAGAAAAAGTAAAACCATGGTATGTTGGTTAGTGTAATACCTTGATAATCTTTGAAGCACCATGAGAATACCTTAGTGTATGAATATGGTAATCATGCAGCAAAATGTTATTGATATCTTGCTGTTACTAGGGTTGGGCCGATAGACGATGCCATCGCCGATGGCTGACAGACATCATGATGTCGAGCTGGCATTGTGATCCCCCCCCCCGCAATCCGCCGCATCCCAATTCCATGTTCGGTAAGGAAATTAAGTGTACTACGGAACCCCTAAAGGGAATAAATAGCCTACGAGATGGGAGGGAATTCTTTCTCTCGCAATTATATCGTTGGGTAATTATACTGTAGGCCTATATAAATTGCGGGCATCAGGGAGCCGCTACTAATATGCAGGGCATTGAAGCCGCTTTTGAATGTGCGCTCTCATTTTACTTTCACTTTCGAGATTCACGATCACACGGACTCTATACTACGGAGCGGCCTTACCTACCACACATTTTACAAGATTAGATATTTGTCAGTGGTGCTCAGTATCTGCAAATCATTCT